GGCGATACGTCAGCCCTCAGCAGGAAGAATCGGTAGTAGATCCCAGCAAGGCACTAGATCTGAAAGTCGAAACCCCAGAACACCCCAAACCCCAGTGCACCTAAACAGCAACAGACCAAGCCTAGCCATGCCTTGCAAACATAGAGACATCACTCGGCACATGTCAAAAGACCCTAGACCGCAAGATTCTACATAACCCTCATATAAACAATACATAAACCCCATAGAAGCCCTATACAACCTCCGTTGAACCCTTATACAAACCCTACATAAACCCTATATAAACACAAAACAGTACTAACAAGGTGGCCGCCTGTCCGGCCGCGGCAGCCGCCGCGGCCCAGACTGCCTCCCAGGCCTGCCTGGGTGCGGAGCTCGGAGCTTTCAGGAATTAAAGGGGGTTTCTAGGGTTTATATAGGGTTTTAATAGGGTTCTTATTGGGTTTATATAGGGTTTTTTACAGGGCTTATGAAGGGTTATACTTTTGTTATTTGGCGGTTATATTGGGGTTATACGGGGGATTGATTCTTGAAGCGTATCTTAAGCAGGGGCCGTTCTTGTGGTTCTCATACTCATGCATACGTGTGATTCAATTAGATGCAATTTGCTTGGGTCCGCACTGAATCTGTAGAGGGTCCAATCTGAGAAGCAGAAGGTTGGAGGCAGTCTGGAAGTAGTAGTTGCAGGGGGTCATAACGGGTCATGAACGTGGAAGAGACTAACTCGGGATAGCAGAAGTATGCCTTGCTTCAACTGATATCAAAAGAGCCTGGACTGGAGCCACATGCATGCGGTAGTCTTAGGTGGAGAGTTGTTGACTTACAGGTTGTTGGTAGGGAATAAGGGAATACACTCCCTATATAACCTTCATATAATATCTTCCCTTATTCCTTATTAAGCCCAAGTAAGTTGCTTTGTCACAGAGGAGGAGGAGGTGACTAGCTCTCATAGTTCTTCATCCTCTTTTCGGTTCCCCAGTGTGGTGGTGGCGCCTGCAGGGCTACACCAGTCGCAGCTTTCCGTTAGTTGCGGTTGTTGCAAGGTAGCTGTGGATGTGTAGATTGAGTTAGGATGAAGGTAGCGACGAGGATGAAAATGTCGATTTGATATGACTACGAAGCGCTCATTTAAGTAGCTGAGGGCGGCAAAGGGGTGCCGTACCGGCCGCCCCGACCAGCTGGCAGCTCAGAGGGATGGTTGCAAGATTGCAATGACCAACACTTGAAGTCCCACACTTTGTTAGCGAATCTGTCAATGCTGGTATAGCGAACAGCCTCGCATCCGAAGTCTTTAAAGAGGAAGCTGCAGCAGCGAGAGCTGTTTACCAGGGTTCCTGAAACATGGAGTCATTGTTGGCATCTTGGCTGTGAGGCCTGCCTGCTTCTACAATCGGGCCTACTTGAATACCTGCGGACTGTCACCCTTTTGTAGAACGAAGCTGGCACAAGCAAACATGGCGGGGCCAGTACAATTGGTAGCACAACAGCTAGGAGAACAACATGTAATGCAGCATGAACAGCAGCTTCAAAGTTGTGTCTACTTCCTGAAACAGCGACGCACGAGCATCTATTACGACCGCAACAACAGCACACAAACAACAACACCATGACCACAATCAACCATACCAGCAGCAACAACAATAGCGACAGCAAGATAAGAAACCCTTCTGCTGTTGCTGCTGCGGCTGCTATTACTACTGCTGCTTGCTGCTGCTGCTGCTGCTGCCGCTGCTGCTGCTGCTGCTGCTGCTTTTGCTACTGCCACTGCCGCCAGTGCCGCCTTTGCTACTGCCAACACCAGCACCGCTACTGGCTTCCGCGCAAGTGGTGAGATAAGTTGAGGCTGCGCGTCCGTGGCAAGGAGGCTGACATCCGGCGAGTGCATGGGGACATGGTTTGAAAGCTCCTGGGCTCCGCTTTAAGTCTACACTGTCAACGCCGGCGCATCCTTCTGATTGTTGAAGTATTTGTATCCACACATTTGAGCTGGCACTCTGGATGAACCTTGCCAAGGCCCTCACCACTAGACCCCGAATACACCCCGAACCGCCGCAAGCCTGGGCAGATAGTGCCATCATTGCCTGCCCCCGTGTGCTGGCACAGCAGCTCTGGGCAGGGCCCGGGGCCCAGTGCCGAAAAAATCTTTGAAGCATCTGCATGTGCCAGAAAGGGGATGAGGTTTAGGCTTGGAAATTATTTTGCTTCAGAATCCTATCCTTGCAGGAGTTCCTTGTTGCGTGGCAGTAGCCTGTGATGCGCTGACTCCGACCATCTTGCAGAACTTCAGACAAAAACTCCAACCCATAATCACAGTCATCATGGCAAGATGCCCGTTAAGAATGTAAAGCTAAGCAGAACTCCCTAAAGATTGACACAATCGCTTTCTCCTCAGGCCGCATGTGCTGCGCGAGATGAGCCAGGCTGCGGGAATTCCCCGCCCAGACTGGCTTGTGGTCCATGCGAAATGAAACAAGCTTGCTATGAATAGAGCGCCTTGCTGGCCCCAACACGAGTGTGCAGACCAGCTGCACATGACATGATTTCCTTTGCAACGACCTGAAGAGAGCAGATGTTCCAGCGAGCAGCCTCCAAGGCAAAGTATGGCAACGTGTGAAGCATGGGTTCTTGGGACATCATCAGGGATGCAGGGAGCTGTCTTCTTGCCTGTGGTCTCTCATACGAATGCTTTGGGGCTCAGGTGAGCTCGCTGTAGTGATCCATGGAACACAGTGTTGGCTGATGGCGGATAGTGCAGAGCACTCGCCGGTGCTCCCGGGGCCTGTGAGCTTGACCAGGAGACAGGTGCCCATGTGTCGCTCAACGACTGCGCAGATGGAGAGGGCGGGTGACTGCCTTAGCACCCTAAAATGGTAAAATCTAGCATGGCCCGCATGGGGCTTCATCCAGCTTGGGCTGTAGGCCCTACTTCCTCCTGGCGGGCTCAGCGGAGGCCTGCGGGTCTCTTCTTGCTTTTTGACACGCACTAGCAAAAGCTTGCACTTCTTGTGTTAGGCACGTGAGATGGCCAAAATGCACGTGCGAGCCCGCAGCTTGGGTTCGTGAAAGGCTGCAGTCTCCAGGATTCCGGCACTGCACTCTGCAACGTGGAAGCCCCTCCTCAAAGCTTCTGCGCTTGAGGCATGGCTGGATGTGAATTCGCGAGCATGGCTTCCCGAAGGCGTGCCAAGCGGCCTTGGTGCCTTTTTCCTGACAGTCGGCGATTTTCAATTCATCTGCATTGCTCCACTACAGTGACTGTCACTGTCGCTATTCTGTGCAAGCTCGCAAGCTTTACACTGTTGCGACCCCTCGCCTTCCTAGAACTTTGGCCGCCGTGACATGACGTCATATTCTGACTCTCTTCTAGACTCTGTAGGCGGCCCGCCGGCCCAGCAACAGCTGGGTACTTGGCTGGTGGTTGGACTGCATTTGCTGGCTTTGAGGGGTTGACTGTTCCTGCTGCCAAGAACTTCGTTCCAGCCTAGTGCTCCTTGGACAGATGGGGCCAGCGGCAGCCTTAGTTGGCTACGGTGCCTTCACTGCCTGCATGCATCTTTTCGACGGATGGCTTTCAAAAGGCTTCCCACCAGGCTTTCCTCCATTTCCAGGCTGGCTCTTCCAGAGATTCCGGCAAGTTTGCTTTGTTATTTCTTTGCTTTACTGCAAGGCTTGCCTTCTGGCTTGCCTCCTTCCGGCTTTCCACCCGGCTTCGCGTGGAAGCCTGAGCGCGGCACAGATCGGATACACAGTATACGTGTAGTCCAGAAGTGGGAGGGATTCCTGCCGTCTTCCAGGCCGCTGCGCGGACCTCCAAGTCCAGGCTGCCTACTTGGCACTCTGGATGCAGCCTTCATTTGGCATAGCGCTGCCCTGCAGGCCCTCTTATGGATCCTTCAGTTGGAGTGCTGAAGCAGGCAGCAGAGGGTTGTCCCGCACACGCGCCTTGCCATGTCCCGTGACGTGATTGGGGTCTGACTAGGCATGTGGACCTCCCTCACCACCACCCAGGATGTCAGCAGAGGCCATGTGCTGAAAGCAGCACCGCGAAAGATCACATCTGTTCGTTTTTGTTCGGCATCCCTCGTTGTCCTGAGGCCTACGATGAGATCTGAGCGTGCGTTGGCTAAGTTTCACCTAACCGTCTTGCTCAGAGTAAGAGCCATGTTCACACAACGTCACAGAAATATCCGGGTACACGTAATATCACGAACGCAATTTGAGTTATTCAGTTGTGGTCACCAGAAGAGGTCCTTTGGACAGGTTTGTGAGCAACCCCGGAAAACAAGTGAGGGAGCGCTTGCCTACAAGGAAGGTTTGTATGAAGTGGGCTTGGACATGCTGAGACCGTAAGTGCTGCTAGCCACAACTCACACTGCCACCATGGAATTTGCAATCGCGTTGAAGTACAACAGCCAGGACCTTGAGCATTGACGGCATTGATGCTCACAGCATCTCAGCATCATCCGACGCCTCTGAAAGCTTCTGTGGTCTCATTCCTTCGTTTTATTTTTCATGAAAGTTTCATTTGTATCTCCAACAATGTACCAATGCGGTCTATGTCGCTATCATGCTACACTCCACATCTTGTGAGAGGACAAGCTCGTGCGGCTACATGCACCAAATTGCAGTTCAGGTAAAGATCTTGTAGCTTCAGTGAAATGATTGACGAAGTCGGGCCCACGACAAATGCTGCCGATCAAGAGAAGGCTGGGCACTTAGTCATTGCTGAGATCACGTTGTTCGCTAAGCGCCGCTAGGGTCTGAAAGTCTGAATTGTGCAAGTGTATATTTTGGACGAGGCAAGTTAGATACAGGGGCATTGGCCTCTGGGTGCTGGGTATGAGTGCCTGTTGTATTTTCTTATTTTTGTTTCGACCGCATGTTCTCCATGCTTCTGAATCATTGTCGACTTTCCTGCTCCCTGACTTCCTAAATGCATAATGGTGGCTTTCTTGATCACGATTTGGGGTGACGCGATGAGCTCATGAAGAAACTTTGAGGCCAGTGGCCTCAAAGATGCTGGGGCTGAGAAAGCTGCCAGTTCCGATGCCAAGGCAACTACCATGTTTCGCACGCTGCATTCCTGCAAATGACTTGGATTTTCAGCAGAGGCGCTTGTCTCACTTGCAATCCTACCCTAGTGGCTCAGTTCGGAGGATTTGGATTGCTCTAGTAGGCAGCGGCAAGCAGCATCTTGTATGCAGAGTCGCGTTAAGCTTTGCAAGTCTGTAGCACATCTTAGACACCATTTGACAGATGCTTGAGCGATTCCAAGCCTGTGACGTGGCCAGCGGGACGTTCAAGTATGTGCAGGCAGGTTCCTCCCAATCCTGAGCCCACCGTAGGCTGAGTATGATGAGTTGTACCAGGTGCACGCGATAGCTTCGGATGGAACACGCAAGGCCCCAGACTACTGTCGTGGGCAAAGCTCGGAACATCATTGCAGTTGGAGGTCATTGTCCGGTCAGCTCCGGGCGCGTACCATGCCGACGTGGCTGAGTTGCTGTGCCAGGTGCCCGTTTTCTGCGAGGGAGAGGGTGATACAGGGTCTAGGCGCAGGTCACGGCATGTGCGATTCAAGTATATCCTTTCTTGTTACCTGTGTTCACATGTCCAGAGCTTCAGTGCTCGAGCCAATCAAAGCAAAGGCTGCATGGAGCCAGGGTTCCAGAGTACCTGGGTGCCCAGGGCAATAGGTCACAAGGGATGCTTTTCTCAAAGCCGGGCCCCCTTCCGCCAAGCTTGGAGGGAAGAGGAAAGATCTCTTGAAGCATTGCCCAGGTGTTCAATCTGCATCGCGGCAGCTCTGCTTACCAGAAGATGTCGTATTCCCGTGTCCGCTCAAAGGCGAGGGCGGGAGAGCAAGGGTGAAAGCAGCGAGGACCCTATGGCCAGGTTACTGCCCTTTGTCGCGGCTGGTGCAATTGGCATTCTTGCGTTAGCGCCTGCCCTCCTGGCCGGTTCCGCTGCCTTGTGGTGGTCTGTGATTCTCGCCGCAAGTGTAACGGGCCTTCTGTACTTCAGCGTGGCCCTACCCTTGTTAATCACCATCTTCACTCTGGGCGGCGTTCTGTTAGTCCCTCTCCTCGCTGCAAACTTCTTTGTTGCGACCCTCATAGCCTCCCTGGTGGCAGCAGGAGCCGCGGGCCTGCTGGTCTGGGTGGCTTTGGGGAACCCTCTGCCCTTCGAAGGCTTGTCGCTGCCCTGGGAGGAGGATAAAAACGCTCTTGGTGTGACAGACGCTTCTACCTCTGCAGCTTCTCGAGATCGGGATGCCGAAGCCATTAGGGATTCGAAGGTAGAGGATCCGTTCGAAGATTGGGATCGGCGATTCGACAAAGTCCAGCGCCGAGTCCGACTCGAGGAGTTAAGTGCGGAGTCCAGCATGACCGAGTTGCGGGCCTACATCTCGCAGGCAGGGTATGGCCAGGTGTTTGTCTGCTATCTATAGGAAGACGGTCAGCACTAAGTCTTTGAGGTGCTGTGGACATCTCCAATTGTTGTGAAATTGTTGTGACTTGTTGGATGCCTACCTGCTGCAGGAGGGGCTGCCTATCAAGACTGGCGGCCGAAGCAAGGAATGGGTCTGGGCTGAGCTGAACACAAAGGTTGCCAAACGCCAACACAAAAGATAGCGGATCGCCATGGCCAAGCACATCATTGCGCGATGTTCGCGCCTTCCTGCAGTCGGTGTCTCGCCCGCGGTGTCCATGCCCGCTTTCCTACGCCAGCATAGCTGACTCTGACAGTCTTCATCTGAGCTCAGAGTGCGTCGCAGGGACAGAAGAGGTCTGTGGCATGCGCAGCTTGCACTGCCAGATCTTGGCTGAACAAAAATGCTGAGTAAGTCGTAGAAGCCAGAGCTCAGAGCCATGCCCCTGCTGTCCATGCAACACATTTGCTTGCAGGCCTTGCAGGACAAGGATCTGCAATATGAGATCCCTGGTGGCGGCCGCATTCGGCCAGATGCTCATAAGCAAGCTGCAGGATTTCTTAGATGCAAACACAGGACCGACTGACCTCACATCGCAGGCGCGACGATGACGCCAAGGAGATCGAAATCTACGGGCACAGCAAGGCCACGCAAGTGTTTGGATTCAGATGTGAGCAAGCAGTTGGGACCATCATGATCTTGGTTTAAGCTAACTGCTGGCTGCAGCCTTCAGCTGATGCAGGCCCATGCATGCATTTTCCCAAAAGACATTGTCAGCCTACAAATGCCGCCCAAATTCTCAGCCACATTTACTGATGTCTATTTTAGTATATTGGGATTATCTAGGAAATAATGGAAAATAAAGGGGAAACTACTATAGTATATTGGGGTTATACGGAGTAACGGAAAATAAGATGGAAACTGCCATTGTCTACATCTTGGGATGTTTGCTCTGCGTGTGAATGTTTGGCACGGGGTTGTCCTCCCCAAGCGATCGAAGTAGCTATGAGTGCTTGTATGAGACGTCAGAGCTATATTATCCCAACATACTATACTAGTTTCCAGTAAATTTTCCATTATTTCCTATATATATATATCCCCAACATACTATAGCAGTTTCCATTTCATTTTCCATGATCCCCTGTATAACCCCAATATGCTATAGTAGCTTCCATTTTATTTTCCATTATCCCTATAATGTATCCACAGAATTCCAATTTCCATCCCGAAATGTTGAGAGCCCAACTTGGTTTATACCGACCGGTCTCACAGCCCGCGAAATGACCAACCCTAGGTTTACTCTGAACTTCCAGAACTGGATTTGTTGAAATAAGGATTTCAGCATATGACCCCAAGCAATGCACATCTCTCATTTTTTGGATCCAACAAATGGTAGATATGAGACCCACAAAGCCCCAGGGTTTCGGGATGCCGGACCATTCTATCTCGGCGGCCATTTGCCGCGCGAGCTTTCCTGGCTACAAGGCCGGGCAATTTCTAGGAGAAGTACCTCTGCTGCGGAGAAATTTGTTGCCTTGCCATTGCTTTCGTGCCTAGTTGCATTGCAGCAGGACGACTTCGGGAACCGTTTTTCCGACTGGTCGTACTATTCGTGCTCTTCCCTTTTCAAGCCGCTGCTGCTGCTGCTGCTGCTGCTACCAGCTAACTTCATCGCCAGCGCGAGTCCTGTGCTGAGGTTAAGGGAGGGGCTGGAGAGACTGGGGGGTTTTCCTCCAGGATCTAGAGCGGAGCCGCGAGCCGACCAGCAATCAACGCGAACCCCTAGCCCAAACCTCCCCGAGAAACGCAACTCCGATGATCAGGGTAAGGGTTGAGAGGGTCCCTAATGTGGGGGCCTTAGATCTAAGCGCCCCACAGTATGAAAAGTAATGCTACCATCACTACATGCACCTAGACCGACAGCACCTTTTTGATGCCACCACTGGCATCAATCTTCTTGGCAGCTAGTCAGTCTGGCAATCATGGCAGTAAACACTTGGCAGCTAGCATCACCTTGGTAGGACAAATTTGAAGCATCGGTAAACACATGCTTTGAATAATATGCAGTCGTACATACTCGAACAGAACAAAGGACGGGAGTGGTCGCATTGGCAGTAGCAACAGCAGTAGGAGAATCACGCAGCAGCAGTACTAGAGCAGCAGCACCACCACCACCACACCCGCCACACCCGCCACCACCGCCACCACCGCCACCACCGCCACCACTGCCACCACCGCAACCATCGCCACCACCGCCAGCGCCGCCACCGCCGCCACCATCGCCACCACCACAACCGCCACCACCGCCACCACCGCCACCACCGCCACCATCACCACCACCGCCACCGACGCCACCGCCACCACCGCCACACCCGGCACCACCGCCACCATCGCCACCACCGCCGCCACCACCACCACTGCCACCACCGCCGCCACCACGGCCACCACCGCCACCGCCACCACCACCGCCACCACGGCCACCACCGCCACCACCGCCACCACCGCCACCGCCGCCACGACCGCCACCACCACTGCCACTGCCACCGCTGCCCCCGCCGCAGCAGCGGCAGCGGTGGCAGCGGTGGCAGCAGCAGCACTGGGAGAGTACAGTAGCAGTAACTGGACTGGTGTTGTCGGGAAAATGGCAGCGTAGAGGTAGGTGGTAGCCGTAGTAGAATAGCCGTAGTGGTAGTCGTGGTGGACCTCTAAATGCTGTGTAGAAACACGAACTAGAGTAGTCACCGCTCTGTGCGTGTTGGATTTTTTCTTTGCATGGCTGCGCGCGTCTTTACTGCCTGAGCTGGATCAAAGGCTCCTGCACGTGCTATACCGACCTATGTTCGCTAGGGAACCCTCAAGTTTGCAAGGTCACACACCGGGACACCGGGTACTGAGTTGCTGGCAGGCTCAACGCAAAGACAGCGCAGTCCCAGTTTGTGTACTTCACGGCTTTGTTGATGGAGATCCGAGCATGGCACCTTCCTCCTGCCCTGATTGTAAGAGGTTTGGAAAGGAGGCTGTTAGTGGGGAGCAAAAGCTGCCGAAGCTGCCAAAGCTGCTGCTGCGGTACCTACAGATCAAGGCAAGAAGTTTGGGGCAACCGACTTACCGGCCCTCTTGGGGCCTCGGATAGGACAAGGACAAAAAAGGAGTAGGGTTAGCATCAGCATGACAACGTTCGGAGACGCAAAGCAAGGGGCTTCACAGATAAGAATGGAATGCAACTTCTCCGCCAGCTCCAGCCGTTGGCTCGGGGCAAAGCCAGCACTCCACTGGCTGTAAGCAGTGCCTTCCTTGTTGTCTGTGATGCCTGAGAGCAATGCAGCATCCAGGTTGCAAGCAGGTTTTCTGGGACACGCGTGTTCCTGGACCAGCTGTGTTTTGGCCATGAAGCTGAGGTGCCTGTCCTTCGTGATGTCCTTGCTCCTGATACAGGGAGGAGCTCAAAGGTCGTGTCCGTACCGCTATCTGATGTTACAGGTGCATGCATGTAATGATGCGTCCCAATCAGCCTGGAGCGTGGCCGGTCTCGCCTTCCGAGACAATACGGGAAAGATCATAGACGTTCCAGCCACGCGAAGCAACGCGGATCTACACCGTGGCAGACCGCGAGTTCCCGCAAGTTTTGGTTTCTCCGGAACCGAACCCTGGAACGTCTTGGATGGCAATCCCTTCTCCATCCTGCAAGTAGACGATACTTACTCGGTGGAGGGAGAGATTGACCGTGGCCGTGACTTGTCCAGGCCGGGCGGCTGTGTAACGATAGCATAGCCCAAGCCATCCCCAACCATGATTCTGGCTGCAGCTGCTGCCGTAGACTCTTTTTCTCTTATGGCCCAGATTCAGATGTGCCCTAGGCCGACTTTTGCTGCGATGCTGGTGATTGATTTGGAAGTGCGGATGCTCAGTCAGTATTGCATTGGCTCCCTCGCACCTTGCAGAAGCGTCCTTAGGTTCCACGACAAGTGGGGTCCTACACCATGGTCTCGCGGCGGGATGGTAGTGATGACACTCATCCAAGAAGATGGACGCTGAGAGGACTCCGGGTTCCAAATTCATACTGGAGTTGTATGCTTTGCAACCTCTCTCGCAGTGTGCCATGCTGAAAAGGCTCCAATGACTTGACATCTTGGGCCAACATGAGCACCTATGACCTTCATACCAAACCATTCCCAGAGGCAGGAATTTTTGCTGCATGTCTGCTCAACAAATGATGGATGATGCGCCTTGCCGCAGGGAGAAGCTGGATTTGGCAGAATCTTCTCGGGCGACCTTGTATGCGGCGAGCTAGAATGACAAACCTCTCCGAATTCAAATAGATTGACCAGATGATTTGAGGATTAATCTAAATATCCTTCTTATCATATTTCGAAAATATTTCCATATTTCATAAATGATCTAGGAATGAATATGTCGCGGTGGCGGGCGGCGATATATAACTGGGATCCTGATAATCCAGATCTTTTTCTCTCTATTATTGGGGATTAGAGTCTCGCTTATCTAAATAGAATATGAATATCCCTCCCCTTCTCGTAGAATCCTAGTACTGAGCCTTGGGGCCTCCGCTATAACTAAATTATTCTGCTAATAGGGCCAATGAAAATGGTATATGGGACCTTTCTACTATTCTGCAAGATAATTATACTGTAAGCAGCGTGCCCTATAATTCAAAATTTTAGGTTTCGCGCTGCTTATTAAAGATATCTTTTGAGAGGATTGAAGGATCCAAATCTAGCATCTATATTATAATTTCTTGCCTTCATTTCGATTGCTGACATCAAAATTGATACCGTCTATCGAAGGCATTTTTTGAGGGGGTCGAGCGGTCTAAAATTAGCAATCATATTGCAAATAATTCCTTACTTTTATTTTAATTTTTGACGTCAAACTAGATGCTGCCTACTGAAGAAATCTTTTGAGGGGCGAGCGATTTAAAAGTAATATCCGTATCGTAATCTCTTGTCTTTGCACTGGCGTCGTTCGTTCTAAAAATTCGATCCTTTCTCTTAATTCCGGTATATAATGGCCTAAATAGGCGTAATATGAACAATCCCTCCTCCCCGTAGATTCTTAAGATTGAGCCTTGTGGCTGTCGCTGGAACTAAAAAATTTTCGTATATTAAAATAGGATATTAGCTTTTCCGTTTGCAGGGCCAATGAAAACGGCATCGGGGCGCTCCGCTACTCTATAAGATTTTTGAATTTCAATTATTAGGCTAAATAAGCCTATAGCTTAAGACTTTCGGACCGACGATATAGATACTAAATCTGATAATTTTCTTTCGAATATATCTTACTTCTCAGAGATCTCTCCTGAATTATCTAGAAATCTATAAAATGATAAATCTCTTCAGAAGGATTTCTGATGATATTAGAATACGATATTTATTTTCAAATAATAAATTGAAATATTTGAATATTCATGAGATTATATATTTTGGATTTAAAATTTCTAATTCGATTGAATTTTTCGATAAATTCGGAAAATGAGATATTTAATATCCTTGAAATAAAAAAATTGATTTTAAATACTATTTCGGAATTTTACAAATATATTTTTTTGATTCGCATTTATTCGCATTTACTATTTTTTCGATTCAGAATAAAGATTTCATAAATTCATATGATTATAGAAATAGAATATAATTGAATAAGATAGATATTTTTTATTAATATCTATTTAGATATTTTAAGTATATGAATTAGATTATCGAAGAAATATATTTTGATAATACGATTATTTGCGGCTATTTTGCTCGAATAAATCCTAGATTTATCGAATCTCTTTTAAAAGATCTTCTATAGGCTCTCTGGATTTTAAAGTCTCGGAGATTTCAAAGTTCTTCGGAAAAGCTAGAAGCTCTAGAATATTCGAGATTTTTGACGCGGCCTGCGTGATTAAAGATTGCGAGCAAAAATCTCGGAGATTTTTGGTCGCGCGGTCTATGCTTCCGGAACGATTTTCTACGTGATTTTATCTCTTTTCGGTTATCTGCGCGGCTGGTCGGCGGAGCGCATAAATCCGGGACGGAGATCCAAGATCTTTTAGAATTTATAGATTGATCGTATCTAGCTACGATAGAGATAAATGAGGCGGATGGGTCAGGCAAGATACGACCCGAAATCTCTTGAGATTTTGAAATATTTTTCTCTCTTCGATTATCTGCGCGGCGACTCGAAATAGATCTAGGGCGGAGATCTAAAATCTTTCAGAATCTATTAGATTGGCGAGCTTTGATCATATGCGGTCTTATATATTGATTGCTCGTCGGGATCTATATACGATCTTCTATATCATATATGATTTATATCTTTTTGATTATCGGCACGACTATTCAGAGGAGCGCGTAGACCCGGGACGGAGAATCAAAATCTTAGAGAATTTATAGATTGGATTGATCTATTCCCGGAGATTTATACGCTCCTCCGAGCCATCGCGCAAATAATCCAAGAGAGATAAATGAGGAAGAAAGATCGGGCTGGATGCGGGGAGCGCGCATCTCGAAATCTCCCGAGATTTCGATTATTCTGCGCGGCGGCTCGACAGAGATCTGGGACGGAGATCCAAAATCTTCCAGGATCACGTGCGATTTTATATATTCCGCGTCATTTATCTCTCTTTGATTATCGGCGCGGCTATTAGGAGGAGTTAGTAGATCCGGCACGGAGATTAGAAATCTTTCAGAATTTATAGATCGGTCATATCTATCTACGAGAATTTATACGTTCTCCCGACCCGCCGCGCAGATAGCCCAAGAGAGATAAATGAGATAGAAAATTCGGACTGGATGCGGAGGCCGCGCGATCAAGGGATCGCGCGATTAAAATATCAATCCGTAAGCGGCACGCTGAAGAATCAATTGCTGCGGTCGAATAATTCTGTCATTCCAATCGGAATATATAGATGACGGTTTCTGCGGAGGGAGGGCTTCAGGATATCATCCGATGCTTTAGGGAAGAGATTAGATTAGCGGCGAAATTTGGATTGAAGTATGATCTCTCTCAATTCACGATTTTCCTTTTATCCGGCGATAGTTTTAGAGGAGATATGTCGGGAATCCAAGAAATTGGGATTCAGATTAGGATAGATTATGATATTCAGATATTGAAAACGTCAATATCAGGATAATAGATTTTCATAAAAGAATTCTATCATCTTATAAAGGAGCTCTCGAAATCCTTTCGAGCGATTGAGGATTTCTAGAATAATCATGAGGCATTGCGTCTCTGAATAGAATTTATCATCTATAATATCTCGCAAGAACGATTCCCCGTCAATTCCTTGGTCCCTTATTTGAGTGAGATGATAAATATCATCGTGAAATTTTCGAGAAAATAACTAGACGAAAATTTCCTGAATAATCCTGGCATCAGACTAATCTTCCTCTTAAATCGAGAGATTAATGAATTTGAGATTGAGAATACTCCCGCTGGGGAATCAATTTGCCATCGAATTAATATTTCCTATCTTCTTGCTTCTGGCTTCATCCAGGACTTACGTCAATCTTTTTTCCGTCTCTTCCGTCATTCTATTTTGGGATAGACGGTGGCAATTCAGAGACTACAAACTCTATTCTCGCCTTGATAGACTGATTTTCAGAATTCCCGGACTCAACTCCGACAGAAAGATCTCGCATCCCAGATCGAAGATACATCTGAACGAAATTTTCAGAGAATTTTGATTCCCGGAAATAATTTGCGCATTCAATATAATACGAGATATTGGGCTGATAGATAGATCTATTACGAACCCAATCATATATTCGATAATTATTTTTCCAAGATTATATTTGCAGATTCGATCTCTATACGATTTGGATTGACTTTATTTGATACAGAAAGGACTATTGTGGCGTATATAAGATAGCTATTTTTAGAGAGATCTTTGTCTACAACGAAGATAAAAAGAGAAATATAATTGATTTGAGAAAAATGGAAGCTCCAATTCCTTGCAGCCTTTCTTTTGATCCCATAGGAAACTC